CGTCCAAGATCTTCGCGTGCGACCTGTGCAACCGCCGTTTCCGTCGCCAGGAGCACCTGAAGCGCCACTACCGTTCGCTGCACACCCATGACAAGCCGTTCAACTGCCACGAGTGCGGTAAGAAGTTCTCTCGCTCTGATAACCTTGCCCAGCATGCGCGCACGCATGGCGCTGGTGCCATGGTCATGAACGTCTTTGACGAGGCAGACATGGTCGCTGCTGTTGCCGGCGGCTACATGCCGCACATGATGTACCCTGGCCACCCGGCGGCCATGGGCGGCGACGACTACTCTGGCATGGGCCGCGTGCTCTTCCAGGTCGCTTCGGAGGTCCCGGGCAGCGCCAGCGAGCACTCTTCGGACGACAGCAGCGAGGGCCAGAAGAAGAAGCGGAAGCGGACGGACTAAGCGTGGTACCCACGCGCGCTTCGTCATTTTCTGCACTGTTTCCGTTCTTTTTCTTTTGTTACTTTGTTACCTACGACCAAAAGGCGCGCTGTTTGTTGTTCTTCCCCCCCAGCGCCCCTTTTGTATGCCCCGACACGAATATCACGAAACACATTCTTCTTTCAGGCCTACCCCGCTACCTGTTTTACGCGGTTCGGCCCCCCTAGGGTTGTTGGCTCTGCGGTGTTTTCAGGCAATGGTTGTTTGCCCTGGCTTGCTTGCTTTTTTTTTGTCTGCTTTTGCTTCGGCTGTGCACAAACAAAAAGAAAAAGAAACAGGACACTACAGGACATACAACCAACACTATGGTCAGAAACATTTTCGCAGGAAACAGAAAAAAAAAGTCTTTTTGTTCAACTTCGATTCTCCCTCACACTCTTCCACACATAAACCTTTTTAGCCTTCTTCAATGTACCACCACCTCCCCAAAGAATCATATTTTTATTTCGCTTCTATTTGTCAAAGACTTTTCCATTTTCAAAGCTTGTTCCTCTCATTTTTGCCATCCTACCTTGCTTGTCTTGTCTTTGTTTTCTTTTTTCGTGCTGTCGCTTTAGGTTGTTCTCGATTGTGTTTTTTAATTATTACATTTCTCCCTTTTCTGACTACAGAAAAGAGAAGCGTGTTTATTAGGATGACCGCTATTTGAAAAATTCGAGATGAGGAGTTCTGCTTGATGCCATTTGTATTTCTATGCCCTGTATCTCTATGCCCTGTATGTGTGCTGCCAGTGTACGACATGTGCGATTTGACGGCTGAATATCAAATGGGCAACAATTGTCGCAATTCATGACAAGCGAGCTCCAAGTGAGAGGACACCAGTGTTTAAGCGAAGGCGTCAAGTCGGGGTGGAGAGCGGATCAATTTACCCATGTCATTTCTAATTGTTTTCTTTTTGTTTCTTTTTTTCGTCTTGCCGACTGTCGCTTGGCTCGGTTTTGCTTTCTTTTTTTTCTGACAGCTCCCATCTGTTGATCTTTGCTACCGGCTCTTTTTCTCCTTCAATGTCTCATAGTCAAAACTGTTCGCCGGGTGTCTCCCGGTGGGATGCAAGTTCATAACGGCGAACATCTTTTCTCTTTTTGTTTCTTGTTTTGGCCCCCCAACTGTACCTTTCATTGGGTTTTTTTTGTACTTTCTTTTCTTTTTTCATTCCTCGGTCCTCTCATTCGCCCGACGCGATCTACAGGGTGTGCTGGTTCACAATATCGCTTGACGTCGCTTACCGGGGCTGAAGAGCAGCAGACGAAGAAAATAAGCTTCACAAACGACGCCAACAAAATCTTCTACCGAACATGCGTGCTCAATTGTTTAGCATAGCCAGCTCGAATTTCAAAAACCAATTACATGCTTCCTCTTTCATCTTTCCACCCAGTGCTTTCGTGTTTGTTTCAGTCAAGTACGATGTATGGCCAACGCCGTGGGAAAACAAATGGCCAACAAAGCCAACGTAGCTTATGACAAGATTACAAAGAACGACTCAAGATTACCTGCCCCACACCTCTCTAATGTACTTCGTACAGCAACGCTCGTTTGCTCTCACCTTTTCCCTCTCTGATGTACGACGTCTCCCCACGCCTTGGAAACCGCAATTGAAATTGTCCGCTCTTCTAGCGAGCTTCGATCGTCTTCCGTCTTGCTCTGCTTAGCCTAGGCGAATGGAGCCCTCATACCCGGTGCTCCGTAGACGAGAGAGAGGTGCATAATCTCGACTACTCGAGTACTCGACTACTCTCTTTTCGTGTTTTTCGTCCAGGGTGTGTGAAAATGTGGAGTGGACCCTGAAATGAGCAAAAAGGTACCAGACACGTGTATGGCCATTTTCATAAGAAAGTGAAAGTGGAAGTGAAAGTGGACAGAGGGTGTGTAGCTATTCTTTCTTGGACGTTGACAATGTCTTGACGATCCAACCTCTTTCCTATTATTTGTCTTTGCCATTTGCTTTTGCTTTCCCCTTCTTGTCTTCTTGTCAGAGTCAATCTGCCCCAAACCATTTCTTTTACAGAACAATTCTCTTACAAGGAAAGGAACCGCGCACGGGACGGCTTCCCCGGGCGCGCGGGTAGGCACGAGCGCGAATGGAGGATTGATAGACGGGAGAGGGGCGTGAATCTGTAGGAGTTGATGAGTGTGGGCTGAATGACAGGCTCATCTTAAATAAATACAGGTAACAGCCGAGCCCGGGACGGGAAGGGGGACGAAAAGGAAAAAGCAAAACCCCCAAACAAAACAAAATGGACAGCGACTAACAAGGAAAAAGACGTCTCTTGCCGCCGGGAGACTTCCAATGGGCAGTCGGCGAGGTCAATGGCCAGAACAGTGCAATTTTCGACGCTCAGCTCTTTGCGTTGTACAAAGTAGTCCGGACGGAGCACGACTGTCCTTTCGTCGTCTTGCCTGGAGCTCTGGGCCCTGCCTGGCCTGGTCTTGTCTTGTGGGCCCTCGGCCGCTGGCTTGTTCCTCCCGCTTCCGCCGCGCATCCGCAAATGGGTGGCTCTTTGGTTCTGGCCTACCGGGCCTTCTTTTGACGACTGCCCACACCGTACGGCACAATTAGTCTGTAGTTCTTTCTAGAAACAACAGAACTCTTGCAATATGAATATAGGGTGCAAAAGTACGAAGTAATGTACTCCGTATCCAAGTATGAATAGCAATTTACCCAATATTACGGCGTATGTCGGCCAGAAACGCAATAATGGAATCGGACTATTAATTCCGCACATAGATTCTATTAGATTGCAAAGTCTCTCGGCTGGATGACCGAGCCGTGGCAAGATGGGATGATTGAGGCGCACTGTAAGAACGAAGCCTAGAGCAACAGAATCAGCGGCTGTACCTGCATAACTATTCTGCAAGGTACGGAATACACGCGTAGTCGTGATTTGGGTGGCATGCCGTGCTGACAACACTGCACGCCAGATGGGGTGCATCTGCAGACGGGCGACTGTACTCTGTCATAAGCAGGCCGATTCTGCAGTCGCTCGCTTGCATCTGCAGGACAGAGAGGCGACGGCAATGGTGACTCGACACGGCTCTGGCGGACCAGACTATAACAAAAACTGTCGAGCAAACGAAGAAAGGAAACAGTAGTGAGGTCCGAGGACGGTCTTGTCGTCTTTTCCTCACCGCCACGCTAGAAAAAAGGCGCTCCAAGACACACTCAAAGACACGCCCGAGGACACCTCTTGTTGCGCTCCCTTCAGTCCTCGACCGAAGCCAATAGTTTCCTCTGATCTTTGTGCGAGGGTGCGATGCTGTACACCATGCCCAAGCTTCGTGCTCCGTGCTCTGTGCTCTGTGCTCTGTGCTCTGTGCAACCCATAGAATGTCTATTTTTGCCTCCACCGCCATTTCGGAGGACCGCATCATCCTGTGTCGTCCTATGCTGCCATATGGCTGTCCTACGGCGTCTATTATCGTCCCATGCCGTGCCTCCAAGTGGCCCTTCCACCGTGGCAACGGCCAACTGCATCCTGTTCCACCAACACACTTCGGACAGGCAGTCTCTTTGTCTCGTCCATTGTCGGCTGCCGTCCTGTGTCTCGATACGCAGTGACCCCCGTAGACTAGGCAAAAACATAACATACGAAACAAAACCAAGTTCGGCGGACGCGTGGAAGGAATAATGCATATAGCAACATCACGCAATGGGACGAAGACGAGAACGAAAAGCTCTGACGTTCTGAGCACTGCAAAAGCAAGCCCGACCGTGCCTTTTTCAAACACCGTCTCGGCCATCTCTCGTCGAAGCTTTGCGTCACCCGTCGACACCACCCTACCCGCAGTAAGTGTTGACCATCTCACCTACCCGCATCCGTGCCGACAAGGCTTTTTCTTGATCTCCCGTTTTGGCCCTCGTGCCTTGTACACCCCCAGAAAGGCGGTCGAACAAATGGTCGTCGTGTTGTCATTTCGGGTGATCTGTGCGTTCGGAGGCGTGAGGATCGTGATGATGTGCTGTCGTCATTGTGTGTCGTTGCAGTATGCCGAGACGGACACGTCTTTTAAGCCTGAACTTGCCTTTTACAGCGATTGGGCGACTGCACAACAGCCAACAGCGGGATTATGCACTAGCAAATTAGCGCCAAAGAAGGCGGCAGCAAAGCGCAAAGGCCAGCCTCGCCAACCCACCAACAGTTTGTCTTTCTTTGTTCTTGTTCTTCAGCCAACGGCCATGCAAAAAAGGCGACGGAAATTTGACGATATCAAAGCCGATAGAAATTGGGTTGACTGCGGCGCAGTGCGCCCAACAGACAATCACACGTCACACATTGACGGACGAGAAAGGAAGGCACGTTGGGAGGGGAAGAAAAGCCCACAAGATTAGGAAAGAGACTCAAAGGCAAAGGGAAAGAGCAAACAACCGAGATTGAACAGCCCCAAAGAGGAAAGAACCACCCGAGGTGTGCATCGGAAAAACAGGCAAGAACACGATCACACGAGACGGCAGGTGCGCCAGGCTGACCCCCTGACTTGGTAGGGGCGTGTGGTTCACACACACTGCCAACCGCCCATCACCACCGCCCATCACCACCGCCATCACAATCCGCCGCCATGGCCCTCAACGTCATTGCGCTCATCTCGGGCGGCAAAGACAGCTTTTTCAGCCTGCTGCACTGCATGGCCCACGGCCACCGCGTCGTGGCCCTGGCGAATCTGCACCCGCCGCACACGGAGGACAATGACGGCGGTAGCAGCAGAAATGGAAATGCAAACGGCGACGCCGACGCCGACGAAGCAGATCTCAACAGCTTCATGTACCAGACCGTCGGCCACCCGGTTCTGCCGCTGTACGCCGCCGCCACCGGCCTACCGCTCTACCGTCAGCCCATCCTCGGCCGTGCCGTCCAGTCGGGGTGCGAGTACCAACCCAACGACGGCGAAGACGAAGACGAAACAGAGTCCATGACGCGGCTGCTCCGCCGGGTGCTCGCCGACCTCCCCGAGGCCAATGCCGTCTGCGCGGGCGCCCTGCTGAGCACCTACCAGCGCACACGCGTCGAGTCGGTCGCCGTGCGCCTGGGACTTGCGTCGCTTGCCTATCTGTGGCAGTATCCCCTCCTGCCGGCCGTTTCGTCCTCGTCGGCCGCCACGACCGACTACCTCGACGACCTGGCTGTCGCCGGGTTCGATGCCCGCATTGTCAAGGTCGCCAGCGGCGGCCTCGACGACTCGTTGCTGTGGACCAACGTGGCCAGCGCGGCCGGTCGGGCGCGCCTGCAGCGGGCCTTGCGGCGCCTGGGCCTGGCCGACGACGGACCCGGCAGCATGCTGGGCGAGGGCGGCGAGTACGAGACGCTCGTCGTGGACGGACCGCGGGCGCTGTTCCGACAGGGGTCGCTTTCTGTGGCGGACGCCGACCGGCGCGTGGTCCACGAAGGCGGCGGGACGTCCTGGCTGCAGATCCGGGCGGCGACGGTGGAGCCGAGAGAGGCGCCGACAGGACTGACAAACGTGCCAGAGGCCAGCCTGGTCAGCGTGCGGCAGCCGGGGTTGCTGGACGCACGGTTTGCCGCTGTTCTGGCACGGCTGGGGACAGGGACAGGGACAGAGTCAGAAACAGGGACTGAGACCGCCTCCGATGCTGCGCAAACAATGGCTGCAGCCCTCTCCCTGGCCGACGAGGCGCCGTTCGCTCTCTCTCCAAGCACAGTGACCTCTGCCGTCACGACCTTGGCTGTTGTCCCTGACCTCGCCTCCATGCCTCCCTCGCCCTCGATGGCCGACGCCACGCGGTCCATTGTCGCTCAGGTCCGCCAGCATCTCCGCCACCGCCCAAGCCACCTGTCGCCCACCCACAGCGTCATCCGCACACTGGTTGTCCTCCGGCGCATGGCCGACTTTCCAGCCTTCAACGCCGTCTATGGCACCCTGTTCACCGGCGCGCCCAACCCGCCGTCCCGCGTCACCATTGCCTGCGGCGAGGCGCTGCCCGCGGACGTCGACGTCGCCGTCTTTTTGTCCGTCTTGGACGACGCGGCCAAGATTGACGCCGCCCGCCGCCAGGGCCTCCACGTGCAGTCGCGCTCGTACTGGGCGCCGGCCAACATTGGCCCCTACAGCCAGGCCGTGTCGGTGCTGGCCCACGCCGACGCCGACGCCGACGCCGACGACGGCAACGACGCCAGCGGCCCGCGCGTGGTCTCCATCGCGGGCCAGATCCCGCTGGTGCCGGCCACCATGGACCTGCCCGACCAGGCCGTGGAGGCGGCACACGCAGGGCTTGCTCGCATGCCAAACGCGCCTTGTCCCTCGCCGGCCTCGTTCGCCTTCCAGGCCACGCTTGCGCTGCAGCATCTGTGGCGCATCGGCATCGACCAGGACGTGCAGTGGTGGGGGAGCACCGTGGCCTATGTGCCGCGGCAGACAGACGGGCGTGCGGAGCCTTCGTTGTCGAGCAAAGCTCGGCTGGTGGCCCGCGCATGGCAGACAGCACATGAATGGCGGCCAAAAGCCGAGGACAGTACAGACGACGAGGAGGACGACGTCGATGGCCCCGACCTGTGGGACCGCGCGTTTGACGCCCGGTATGCCAGGTATGGCGCGGGTGGCGGCGGCAGCAGCGACGAGAACACACCACAGCTGCCAGACTGGCGCGTGCTCGACGGCAGTGCTCTGCAACCTGCACGTGCTGTGCCGCCCGTCTTCTTGGCCGAGGTGCACGAGCTGCCGCGGGCGGCGCCGGTCGAGTGGCACGCACAGGCCGGGTTTGGTCGCCTTCACGCCGGTGGCAGCAACAGCAGCGTCCAGCTCCGGACGTGGGTGGGAACGGACGGTGCGGCCAACAAGACATGGTCGCACCAGACGATACTCAAGACGCTACGGCCGCGGATTGGCGACACCGACGAGGACAGTGGCAGCGAGGACGACAACAAGGTTTGCCGCCCGGCGGCAGCACCACGAAGCAGCAGCCGCGTTGTCGTGCAGAAGACAACAGCATGGGCCTGTCCAGCAGACAAACCATCAGCAAAAGTGGTCCTGCCAGACGCCGTTCTGGCCGACAACGTCGACGTGGTCTATGCCGACAGGAACCTCTGCCAGATCTCCAAGGCGCACACGTCCACATCGCCCATCGTGCCGTGTGCCTCGCTATGGAACGCCCGCGGCGAACGTCTAGCCGCTGTCGTCGTGCAGACGGTCTACGGAGAGGCGTAACGTTCCAGTTATCAAAGTCATCGTGCATGCGTACAATGGAAACATACGTTTTACTTTCAACGGTGCAGGTCCATGCAAAACCAATCCTGATTCGTGTTTTCTCGTGTTACCCGCAATGTTGCCTTGCAAAACTTCAATAATACACCGCATCCAAAGTATACAAGAACCAAATGAGACCGCCCATGGGCGAGACAGACCTCAGGAGCTTCGGCAGCTCCAAGTCCCCGTCGGCCGTTTGTGCCGCCGTAGCCATGTCCACGAACGTGCCGCCCGCTTTGTTGCCTGTCCGTCGTTCCGTTTCACGTTCGTTTCCGCATGCATCTGCTTCTCCGCGCCCGCTACAGCAGCGGCCCACTATGGCAGGATCTGCATCTCCTCGACGCGGTCCTTGGCATACTCGTCCTTGTAGGTGTCCCAGAGGCGCTGCAGCTCGTCGCAGTACAGGCCGTGCAGGCGGTCGACCTCGGCCGGGTCGAGCGTGTCGCTGGCGGCCTTGGTCACGGGGATCGGCCGGCCGACCACAATGTTGAGCGGGTGCCGGTACGGCATCAGGCCGTAGTCGTAGTTGAAGATGCCGCGGCCGCGCATAAAGGGCAGCGTAAACTTCCAGACCTTGAGCACGTGCATCTGGAAGCGGTGCAGCAGCGGGTGGTCGTCGCCCTGCAGCTGCGTGTACAGGTCGACCTCGCCGAAGCCCAGCACGGGCACCAGGTCGGCGCCCGTCGCCATGGCCACCTTGATGAAGCCCGCGCGGCCGTGCAGGACGAGCCGCAGCGTGCCGGGGTTCGCCTGCAGCGACTCGCGGGCGCCGCCAATGACAATGGTGACGGCGCGGCCCTGGCCGTGGCCGTCGGGCCCGCCGCGGCTCAGGAGGTTGATGATGGACTCGCGCGCGACGGAGCACATGCCGGCCATCAGCAGGTACTCGCGGTAAAAGGGAATGTTGAAGTTGGAGTCGAGCGTCAGCAGCGCGTTGGTGATGCCCGGGTACTTGTCGCGGAAGCCGAGGGCGTTGGTGCCAAAGGCCACCCAGGCGCCGTGCGAGATGATGCCGTGCGGGTGGTAGCCGAAAATGTACTTGCGGTCGGCCGGCAGGTCGGCCGTCTTGTGCAGCTGGGCCGGGAAGTAGTCGGCGAACCAGGTCCAGATGGGCAGGCTGCGGAACCGCTCCGAGCGCCAGCGCAGGCGGCCGTTGGTGGACGCGCTGGAGACGACAATCATGAGGAAGTAGGGGACGATGAGCGGCCAGGCCAGCGGCACGGCGCAGCAGAAGAAGAAGAGCGGGATGGCCATCATGAGGCACGAGCAGTGGATGAGCACGGCCAGCGTCTGCTTGCGGCGCCGCAGCGGCACCCGCAGCGGCGCAAAGCGGATGCCTTTGTGTGCCTCTTGCGTTGTTGCTGTAGGAGTTGTGCCGTTTGTGGTGCCGTTTGTGGTGCCGTTTGTGGTGCCATTTGTGGTGCCATTTGCAGTCCGCTGGCGCGGCCGCTGCTGGTCGGACGGCATGTGCCCGGTCGGCGTCTCCGCGTCGCTGTGATCGCTGTCGGGCTCGCCGCTCGTCTTGGGATTGCGGCTCGGCCGTGCTCGGTTCCGCTGCCGCACACCGTTTACACCGTTTACACCGTCGACGCAGATGTTATTGTTGCTTCTGTTGGGCGGCTCGTAGTCGAGGGTCACGGCAGGCATTGCGTCCGTGTCCGTCGTCGGGAGGGCCAGCCTGGACAAGAGGTGTCAGTATCGCTGCGTCCACCAACAGCCGGCTGTGTCCTGGAGGGCGCAATACCTGTCTCTCCGTCTATCACAGGGATACGGCAACGCTGATTTCCCAATCGGACAGCTGTTTCTGATGCAGGGCTATGAAAAGCGTCGCTCCCAAGTCGTCGCGAGGTGAGGGAGAATAAGTAATCGTTCGTTGAGCGATGCCAAATCCCTGGACAGCTATCGCGTCGCAAGGAGAGATGCGCTGATGTTCGCTGAAAGAATCGCCCGTCCCAAAGACAACGGCTGAAAGTATCCAACAGTCAAAAAGCCAAAAACAGACACGCCTCCTGTTGTGTTTATGGATGCTGCGGCGTGCTTGCCTCGGGCGTCAGATTTTGGCTTCGCTTTCGTGCGTCGTTCCTTCTCCCTGTACTCATCCCCTCTTGCTCGGCGCGGAAAGACAACGTCTAGCGGCTTTGCACATGCTTGATGACGTTGCCAGTATCGTTTGTGGCTGGGGAAGGCGCTAGGCGGCACGCTGGAGGGTTGCCTTGGCACAGGTCATAAAGTCACGTGAACATGATGTGCTGTTCCAACAGGCCTCGAAAACACCATCTCACAGCACGTACTTTTATCTTTCCAGTCTACTTGTGGCGTTTAATATGTTTCATGATCACGACCCCCGACATTTTCTCCGTTTTATGAGTGTATTTTATAGACTGTGAGAGAGTATACAAACAAGATCATACATTGGCACGTAAGAAGGGGAAAAAGAGAGTCGATCCCTTGAAAACAGTCTGCAGCGGAGACGTGCGTCGACCGGCAGAGTACAAAGTAAACACAGGGGAAAGTGACGTGAATCAATGCAGCAGAAAGGCAAGACTGAAAATGGGGGAGAGAAGAAGAAAGATTGGGGCGGGAAACGGGCATCGGTCACGAAAAAGGCAGATTAAACGACAAAGAGATTCGGCAACAAACAAGTAAGCGAGTGAGTGACCCAAAAAGTCAAAACAGGGCAAACAGCCACACAAAATAAACAAAGGTGTGAAAACTCGTTTCACAGAAATAAGCACCGTCCATCAGAACTGAAAAAGGAGGACACCCCCGGCTCTCGCGTCCCTTTGTCCCTTCACTATGTATCATGTTTCCTTGTGTCCCTGATTTCCTCCATGTACACATGTCCTTTTTTGGCTTGCCCTCACCGGCGCGCTTACGAGCTGCCAGAGGCCTTGAAGACAATCTTGGCCGAGCCGCCCGACTGCAGGGCCGTGGTGCAGCCGTTAGAGCCGCCGTAGTAGGAGCCGCCCTTGATGTAGCAGGGGGCGGTGATGTCGCCGGTGATCTCAATGTCAAAGTTGAGCTGGGCCGTCGAGGTGGGCGCGTTGGGGAAGATGGACAGGTAGGTGATGCCGTTGACGTCGGTGCCGGCGCCAATGTTGACGGGGGCCCAGTTGCCGGCCGAGTCGGGGTACTCGGGGCTGTTCCAGACGCAGGCCTGCTCGACACTGACGCCGGCGTTGTTGACGTAGAACTGGCCGCTGGTGTACTTGCCCTGCCACTGGTAGGCGACCTTGGCGTCGAGGTTGGTCAGGGTGTAGGTGTTGCCGGGCTCCGTGACCAGGGGGATGTTCATCATCTCGTTGCCGGGGTAGTTGGTGCCGCAGACGCAGGCCACGTCCGACAGCTCGTTGACGACGCTGATGCCGCCGAGGCCGTCCATGCACAGCGTGTTGAAGTTGCTGTTGGTCAGCTCCAGGAAGCCGTTGGCGTTGCACCAGAGGCCGCCAATGGACTGGCCGGTGGCGCCCTGCGACGTGGTGGGCCACTGGGTCTTGGTCTGGCCGGCCGCGCAGGCGTACGAGCAGAAGGACCCCGGAACACAGCCGCCGCTGGTGGGCTCGACAATGTCGGAGATCAGGGTGCCGGGCGTCCAGGAGCCCGTGGCCTGGATGGAGGCCCAGCCGTCGAGGCCGATCCAGCTGAGCGGGACCGCGCCGTAGTCGGAGGGGAAGTGCGAGCAAGGGATCTTGCCGCTGGGGAACTCGGCGGTCGAGCCAGAGCCAGAGCCGGCGGCGGTGACGTTGCTGTTGCTGGCCGGCGCAGCCGACGCGGTCGACGAGGTGGACGTGGACGACGAGGTGGTCGAGGTGGACGTCGAGGTCGAGGACGAGGTGGTCGAGGTCGAGGTCGAGGTCGAGGTGGACGACGTCGACGACGTGGTCTTGGTGCTCGAGGCCTTGCTCTCAAAGAACTCGGCGGCCTGCTTGGTGGGCTTGGGCTTGGGGGGCGACTTGGGCGTCGACGTGCCGACCACCACGCACTCGCCGTTCTGGATGCAGGCCTTGGCCTCGGCGGCGTTGACAGTCTCGCCGTCCGAGTAGACGTACTTGGTCTCGACGGGGTCGACGGCGGTGGCGACGGCGGGGGCGCGCTTCTCGACTTGGGCGGGGACCTCGACAGCGGCCTCGCGCTTCTCGACGTTCATGGCGCGGTGGCGGTGCATGTGCTGGTGACGCTGGTGGGCCATGTCGGCGGAGGCGCCGGCCACGAGCGCAGCCGTGACGGCAATCTGGACGAAACCCTTCATGGTGACAAGTTTATGGCGATTGGTTGGTGTTTTGCTACAGCGTGTGTTAGTATACTCTGACGAGATGTTTTGTGATGATGCGCCGTATTCAAAAGGCTTGGCGTAGATCGATCTGGTGATGTGCGCAATGTGTTTTTGCGATCAACACAACAAGAAATAGCAAAACTTGAATTGAAGTCGTTTCCGAAGCCGTTGAGGTGATGTCGCCGTGATTTTCGAACAATGCTGTGCAATGCGCGAACCGTACAAATTCAATATGTCGCTCTTGTCGATATCAATGCCGACGGTGATTGTTGATCCTCTTTGTTTCGATCACTGTTTTGTTTCGATTGTGTCGTCGTTTGCGTTTGTCACGCTCAATCGATTACGCTGATTTCATTTCTTGTCGTTTGTCGTTTGTTCACTTTCGTCGAGTATCTTTGTTTATCCCGTCGTGGTTTCGCCGTCTTCTCTCACTTTGTAGTTCAACCCACCTTCTGATTACTCGTGCGAGTCGGCGGTTCAGGTCCGATGCTGTTTGTTTGGCTTCACTCTGACGGTCGATAAAACAACTTCCAAAAGGAGCGTGATAGAGGAACAAGATCCTCAGTTGGATGGAGAAGCGAGCGTAGGGGGTGACGGAATGTCGACCGTGATGCTGTGTTTTGCAGAAACGAGAAAGCAAAAAGGGAGAAAAGGAGAAGGAAGAAAGAAGGGCAAAAGAAGAGAGAAG